TTTGTAAATTTACAAACATATTGCAAATAGTATGAACATAAATATGTTTAAGGGTTTAAATGAATCAGCCCTGTTCAAAAGTCCAGCTTAGAGCCTTGGCTGGTTTGACTCAGCGGTTAGAAGAGTGTCAGCCTGCAGACCAAAGGGTCTCGGATTTCATTGGCAGTCGAGGGCACGTACTGGGTTGCAGGCTCAATCCCTGGCCCTGGTCAGGGTTGTGCCGGAAGCAACAAATCTATGTGTCTCTCTCACATTGATGTTTCTCTCTCTCCCTCCCTCCCTTCCACTCTACCTAAAAATCAATGAAAAAATATCCTTGGTGAGGATTAACAAATAAATAAATAAATAAATAAGTAAATAAATAAAAAATAAGTCCAGCTTACAAAGCTGGGGTTGATTACTCCAAGCTAGGTTCTCTCACTGGGCTCTAAACATGTCCTCTACTGCAGAGGTTCGGCCCCACTCTGGGATGCTCCCTCACTCTTTCCTTCCTTCTTAAAACATGGTGGAAACAGTATAAATGCCCTTTGGTGAATGAATGGATGAAAAAATGTAGTGCACACACACGCGCACACACACACACACGCACGCACACACACACAATGGAATAATATTCAGCCCTAAAAAGAAGGAAATCTTGCCATTTGTGACAACATGGCTGGACATTGAGGGCATTATGCTAAGTGAAATAAGTCAGACAGAAAAACATAAATACTGTATGATCTCACCTATATGTGAAATGTAAAACAAACAAACAAAACAACACAAAAAACTGGAGCACATGAATATGGAAAACAGATTGGTGGTTGTCTGAGGTCAAAGGTATAAATTTTCAGTTATAAAATGAGCAAATCCTGGGGAATGTAATGTACAGCACGGTGACTATGGTGAAAAACACTGTATTGCCTCTTTGAAAGCTGCTAAGAGAACAGATCTTGAAAGTTCTTGTCATAAGAAAAAATATTTGTAACTATGTATGGTGATGGATGTTAACTGGACTTGTGGTGATGACTTTGCAACAAATACAAATACTGAATCATTACATTGTATACCTGAAACTAATGTTATATCAATTATATGTCAATTTAAAAAATATTATCATCATGTATATAATACATATATATGATATACTCATGTGTACATTATAACTATTAGCAATGCAAAGCTCTGAAGGGTAGCAGAATATTCAACCCAAAATACGCCTCTCGGCATAGAGATTATTTTGAGCTGAAGACAACTGAGAAGAAGCTGATATAAGGAAAGCTCTGTACCCTGCCCTCATTTAGCTAAAAGCAGGACATACATTTGTGAAGGTGTTCCCCCTTCCCTCTTAACAGAAATACAAAGTTACCCTTGTTAGCCCAGAGAAGCCCCCATCTATAAAATTAAAAAAATTTACCAATTAGCCGTTATCATCCATTAGCTCCCTGTATATTTGCCTTCCCATAATTTTCCACTCCCAGAAACTCAGTCTGTTTCCTTTAACTTGCCACTAAAAATTTATTGTTCTTTTATTAAGATGCTATATGAGCCCAAGTTCTAAGCACTCGTTGAGTTACTCATCCTGTATGCATGCATGATGCAGGTGTTAATAAAATTCTGTTTGTTTTTCTGCTGCTAATCTTTCTGTTGTCAGTCTATTTTACAGGGCCCCAGCCAATGCACCCCAGATGAGTAAAGCAAAAAAGCATTTTTTTCCTCCCCTCCAGCTTTAAAAAAAAGGACAGTGTGCCCAATCTAGAAGAACTTCTCACACTCCAAGTGGGAAGTTAAACTTTGCTAAAAGTTTAAATAAAAGTAGATGCATCAAGGCAGTACAGAACCAGGAACGGAGCAAGCCTGGACATTCCCTGCCCTGTTCTTACTTAGTGACTCATTCTTTACACCTAGGAAATGCAGAGTGACTAGTCCGGGCCAAATGTGAGACTGGCACCTGACAGATGAGTGGGTTATGTTTAAATATTTCAGAGGTTACTCCAGAGCTTCACAACCTCTTTAAAATTATAGATGGGAGCCTGGCCAGTGTGGCTCAGTGGTTGAGCATTGACCTATGCACCAAGAGGTCGTTGGTTTGATTCCTGGTCAGGGCACATGCCCAGGTTGTGGGCCAAATCCCCAGTGGGGGGCAGGCAGGGGGCGGCCAGTTGATGTTCTCTCTCATTGATGTTTCTGTCTCTCTCTCCATCTTTTTTCCTCTCTCTAAAATCAATTTAAAAAAATTTGTTAAATAAAACTATAGATGGGAAAGTGGCACCCCAGACCTTCTTCATCAGAATACCAGAGGGTGAGGCTAAGCTTTTCCTTTTTCCATGACATGTAATTCCCAACTGCAACTGGAAGAAGCAACCTAAGCTTTCTTCCAATCTAAAAGAATCCATTTTGCGCTGGCCAGTTTGGCTCAGCGGTTAGAGCGTCGGCCTATGGACCAGAGAGGCCCAGGTTTGGTTCCCGCTAAGGGCACGTACCCTGGTTGCAGTTTGTCCCCAGCCCTGGTTGGGTCATGTGGGTGGCAACCACTCGATGTGTGTCTCTCTCACATCGATGTTTCTCTCTCTCTCTTCCTCCCTCTCTATCTGAATAAATAAATAAGTAAATAAGTAAATAAATAAATAAATAAATAAATAAAAGAACCCATTTCTCTTCAGCGTTGTTCATCCATCACTAAAATCAGATTCTAATTCTGGACATTTAACAGCATGGTGTTAGTCCAGGTATGAAGAAGTTGATATCTTGGGATATTAATGATTTTCTAAAATTGTTGGCAGAATCAGTGTAGCTCTCAAATTCATTGCTCTGGGATACCATTAAATCTGTCAATGAGAAATATCTAAACCCATCAGCCAAACCAGAAAATCTCTGTGGGGAGTTCAGTGAGGGCACCCCTCACCCTGGTGGAAGGTCTCCTGGGTCCAGGGCTGCCAGAGTGTATGTGATAAGACAGCAGAAGAAACACAGCCGTTCCACAGACAACATCGCCCGCAGCTGTCATGCGGGAAGATGAAGCACTCACTCTTAAAACAAACCTGCTACTCAAAATAGTTTTGCAAGTACCTTTACATATCCTCATTTAAGGGTACTTTTACCTAAAAACTAAAAGAAAAAGGAAAAGGAGGAAGATGAGGAGGAGGGGGAAAGAAGAAGAAAGTTGATCAAAGGGAATCCAGAAAACTGAGAAATTATTTTCCAAAACGGTAAACAACAATTTTTCCTGGAAAGGACTGAGTTTTCAGGTGTTCCGTGTTTTTATATTGCTGATGTAAAGGGAAGTAGAAAGTAAGCAGCATTAAGGGGAAGAGCCTGGAATCTACTTCCACTTGCGATACCGAGATACATGGCGACATTTATTTCAACACTACCTTAGACTATATTTTATTCAATATTAATTATGAGCTTTGAATAATTGCCTGTGATTTATCCAAAGTAAATTAGGGTTCTCTCTCTCTCTCTCTCTCTCTCTCTGTGGTTGTTTTGTTTTTGTTTTAAAATATCATTCCAAGTTACTTTGTCCTCAGTATATCTGTAAATTCCAAGTTACTTTGTCCTCACTAAACACTTCTGAGCATGTTTTCATTGATACTTATAAATAATTCTACATGTCCTGCCTTGCCTTACCTCAGCCACTTGCCAAATCAACACACAAACAACAAATGCACTGCTCAGGCAGAGACTTTTTTTAAATGTAATTTTTCCAGGGCCTAGACTACGGTCAGCTATCCACTGGCTACGCAGTGTGGTGTGCGGGCCAGCTGCGTGAGCATCAGGGAGTTGATATGCATCATCTCCGGTCCCACAGGACCCACCCAGACCTACAGAACGAGAATATGCATTTAAATAAGATCTTGAGGTGATCAGCACGCACATTACAATTTGCAAAGCACTAGCTGAGAGCAGTGTGGTAGTAAACTGATCACCTACATCAGAACAACCCGATGCTCTTCTAAAAGTAGGTTTCTGGACACCACCCCAGACTGAGTGACAGACTCTCTGGGGTGGGGGCCCTTGAAACTGCATTTTAAACCATTGTCTCTCGCTGACACTTATGCGTCTCAAGCTTGAGAGTTACTGGAGTAGCTTTACAAGTGCTGCCATTTTCATATATGTGAACTCTTCACCAGACCAAAGTCACTGGGCAAGACATACCTAGAATTATAAACTCATCAAAGAACATATTGTGTATAGAAAGATAAACACGCAAACACACACACAACTGGAAATGGGGAGAAACTGCCTTTAGTACTCCAACCACCACCCAGTGAGGTTCTGTTGAGCATCCGCAATGAAATGCAGACTAACCGGTTAATGTGTTAGAGGGAGCAAAGAGTGAATGATAATGCCGTCACCTTTCCTGTGCCTGTTTAAGTATTACTCACTCACACTCCTTTGAAACGTTGTTAAAAATTAATTTGATTCTAATAGGTTACTTTCAATACAGAAAAAAAAAATTATTTTGGTATCCATCAGATGTGAAAAGAATGATCTAAAAATATATATTTAAAATACACTGTTTTTATTTCTCTTCTATACAGAGAAAGTCTTCATTAACAATTGCTGGAGGTGAGTTTCCTTTCAAATATCAAGCTGAGGGGGTGCTCTGTTCATGCATTTTCATAAAAAAAAAAAAAAGTTTATCTTTTGTATGTTTAGAAAATCCAGTTAGGTACAATTTTTACTTTTCCTCTGAGTGTTTGACATCAACAAAAGACAACTCCAATCCCATTTGGCAAGCTCCAAATTACCCCTACAAACATGTGGACATCACAAAAAGTGTGGTGTGTTCCTCTCTACTTACATGCTGCTAACATTTTAGAACTGCAAAGCAATTTGCCCTAAAATATTAAAAAATATCAGAAACATGAACACACAAGATTTTGTTTTGACTTGATGCCCTCACAGACAGTTAAACAGAACAAAGGGAGACACCTGCACAGGGATAGGAAATTACATTAGAAAAATATGAGCAGTCGTTAGCACCTTCGGAGTCCTAGTTTCAGAAAGATTACCTCAGAGTATAAGATTCCCATGCTGGTCTCTCAGACTTCACCTCCACAGCCTGGTGAATCTTCTGGAGGTATTTCGGATTAACATCAAGATGCTTCCCGGCAGACAGAAAGGTCCCAGAAGCCCAGGTCAGTGGCAAACCCTTTCTTTGCACACCTGTGAGTGCATTTGCAGCGGCTCGGGCAGCAGCACCACCTTCAGAGGGCCCAACCCAATGAAACAAAAGCATCAGAGCCCAGTAATGACCCACGCTGTGCACCTTCTAATGTTACCGCCCTGAGGAACCGGTTTCTGAGTCACCACTGCTGACAACGGTGGCAAGTGGCAAGAAAGAAGCAAAGTGGAACAGGAAAGGAAATTTCTCACCTTGGCAGGAAGGACATGAAGCTCAAAACAGGACAATGTGTTTAGAACATTTCCTAATTGAAATCTGGTTTTCGGAGGCTATTGAGACAGTTTAGAGACCAACAAGCTCGCTTGTTAGAGCCGTAGGCCTGCCACAGGGCTTGACTTTCACGAAAAATTACTTTCAACCCTGTCGCTATAAATTATTTGCTCTCTTTATTTTATTTTTTCTTTATTGATTTGAGAGAGAGAGAGGAAGGGCAAAGGAGACTGAGATAGAAACATCGATGAGAGAGAACATGCATTGGCTGCCTCCTGCATGCCCCCCCTCTGGGACCCGGCCTACAGCCTGGGCATGTGCCCTGACCAGGAATCGAACCTGCGACCTCTTGGTGCATGGGTCAATGCTCAACCACTGAGACACACTAACAGGTGCTTTCTTTAAAAGTACAGATAAGTTTCTTCTTTCTTGATGTTGTTGGTTAATATAAACTACTTAAATCATAAATTCATAAATGAAGGTCAATTTATAAGCTATTGTACATATATTCTTTGATTTACTTTATATACATAAATTATTTTATATTTTTATAAAAATATATTCTTTTCTATACATAAATGTGTTCATAATCACTTTCAAGGGCATCTTTGAGTAAAGTTTGAGCAACTCAAATGGAAAAAACTTAAATCTTAAAGAATCAATCCATGTATATCCTAGTTAATTAATTTACCATAAAAGGTTTAAATTACATTTATAGCATTACTATATTTAAGTTTTCTTTTTAAGCACTTCAGTTCTGATCCTAACAGGGAATACTTTCCCAGCTAATTAAAAGGTCTTGTAAATCTAACAAATTATTCTAAGGTAATAAATATTAGGTTGCCTTAAACATTCTAATGATGTTTACAAATTTAACCAAATTTCATAAAATTCAATTTAAAAATGGTAAGTCTAAAATCAACCACTCTATCACACATTTTTTTAAATATATATTTTTTCTATTACACATTTTAAATGGAAACACCAGGCCACTTGGCAAACATGTTAATATGCCAAATGTCTTAAACGTTGTAAACATTTTGTATACTAAATATCAGATAGTCACACATGTTCTCTGAACTTAACACAATCATCACAAAACGTTAAACTTTCCCAGATTTAAAATACCCACGCATACCCATAAAAAAAGAAACAGTTCCATCATTCCAAGCAAATTGATGTCAGTTAAGGTTCTTTAGTGGCTAAAATTAGGCATCAGGATTCAAGACCTGAGCCTATTCGGGAAAATTCTTTCTACTCCACTGATTACATATGAATCATTTTTATGATTGTTATAACAAGAATTACCTACTTTCCTGAGGACGTGGACTTCAAGCCAACCTGGTAGGAGTTTAAGAATTTGGTAATTCTGTTAGAAGCAGAAGTCTGCAATACCCTCTAAGATTGCAGTTGATTTCCTCTTTGGCTTGCTTTTATTTTAAATTTCTTTAGTTTCTTAAAACATTTAAGTGTCTTTTCCATTAACTTTAACATTGTTATTTCCATTGGTTTCCTCTCTTTCTTATGCAAATCTTCTGTAACACCTTCAGTTTTTTTTGTAACCTCTTAACTAACTTGTGTGGCATTACACTTCACTCTCTACCTCTCTGCCTAGGTTGCTGCTAGCTTCCTTCTCCAAGCTCTTTCCTCTGACAAAACTCAGAGGTTTCTTTAATTTCCTATTAGGACCACAACTCCTCTAATCGGATTCTGCGTCTCTCTCTCTCTCCACTGCATCTTGAAGGCTAGTAAAATATGCCATTCTAAAATATGCCTCTTAAAGTGATCATGAAGATCACTTTAAATTGATTATTTCTGAGAAACTGTAGACACATAGAAGAGTCTCTGAAAATAGAGTAGAATTTAATCTGTTGTAAGGGATATTTAAATTAATGAAAAATCTTCATTTGTAAAGGTGTCTTCTGTCTGTACTGTGAGGAGAAGGGTGACTAAATCTCTGGAAACTCTTATTAGTGGGAAAGCCATAGACCTTGCATAACAAATGTGACCCTTATTTGTTATGCTCGTTCTGGTAATCTCCCATAACTGCCCCTCCCCCGATGTCTTTCTTTTGTCTTTAACTCAAAATGGTATTTAAAGTGGTGGCTTGGGCCATTCCAGGGAGTTGTACTCAGTTTTCCTGGGTTATCTTCTATGTATGCATAAGTTATATATGGCATTCAACTTCTGTTTGTTTTTCTCTTGTTAATTTGTCTTTTATTACAGGAATGGGGGAACCTCAACCAAGAACCTAGAAGGGTATAGGAAAAATTTTTTCTCCCCACAATGTGGTTATAAAGGCACAATCCTCGTTATGATTATGAAAGGTGAACTCTTTCAATGTAGAGTTGACTCTAAAAACATCAATTAAAAAAAAAACAATTGACTCACTGCAATTGGTAAAATACTTATATTTAACTAGACCAAAATCATTCAGGGATAATTTTGCCCTCAAGTATGGCTGCCAGATTTAGCAAATAAAAATATAGGATGTTCAGTGAAATTTGAATTTTAGATAATCTCTGAAATATTGCATGGGTTATGCTTATTGTAAAAAAGTATGTGTTAACTGAAATTTAAAATATTTGGCAATGTGGAGATTTTTCTGATTGTCACAACCAGAAGTGGAAGGATGCTAACTGCATCTAGAAAGAAGCTAGAGATGCTACAAAACATCCTACAGTGTACAGACAGCCTCTCACAGCAAAGAGTTATTCTGCCCAAAATAGTGCCACAGCAGAGAAACCCTGGTCTCGGCCAACAGAACAATCAAAGATGAAGGCATAGAACTTGATTAATTCATAGTGTTAGAATGGAATATGGTTGAAGAGGAGAAAAAAAAAAAAAAATGTCTGTTTACCCTTCTGTGTTCTTGGCTGAGACTCTAACAAAAGACTGGGACTGAGGCTGGGGGCCTAGGGTTTCACAGGCTTACTCTTTATAGGTGAATTTAAAACACAACAGTGGGAATTTAAAGTGCAGGAAGAGAGAAAAACAAGTTGCCCAAATGGTCAGTTATTGAAATCAACCAAGATCCCTAACACACAAGAGCCTCGGTGGGTTGAGGCAGACTGGCTCTTTGTCTAGTTATGTGGCTGGCATTTGCTCCAGATAGCCATCTTCCAAGCAAAGGTCCCTTTGAAGTGAATGCCTCCGCAATCAAAGCTCTAAGTAGGGCACTTGCATTTCCCGAAAGAAAAAGAAACACAACTTTCAAGGCTCACACTGCACACACCCCGCTTCCTTGTTGCCTCTTTTAATACACTATAAAACTCCCCCGTACCCAAACATCTCTTGGGAAGAGCTCTCCACTGCTTGTGAAGTATTGTATCCTCCCAATTCATGGATTGTTTTTCCCTTGAATAAAGGACATCAAATGTATTACTAAGTTGTTTTATTTTCATCATTAGACAGGTATTATCTCTCAGTTCCAAACACACTCCTCTACATTTTGTTCTGTGATGCTACACCAGTGGTCTGTAAGCAACATCTTCCCTCACCCCCAACTGGCCTCTTGTTAGGTTCTCCCAATAGGAAACACTCAAGGGAGACCGAAAGACTCAGAAGGGAGAAAGACACTTGCTCATTTTTACATGTTTGCTGATCCTATCAGCATAAGCCTAGCAATAGCCCTTCATTCTAGAAGCAGCAATTGGTCTGTTTTTGTTTTTGTTTTCCCACACTCTGGGAACCAGCCTAATCATAACCTTTAGAGGTACCATCACCAGCTGTCTCCTTCCCACAACCAGCTTGATGCAACCCTTCCTCTGACCTGCAGCAGCAGCAACCAGACAATGGTCCCTCTTCAAGGCCTGGGTCCCAAGAATTTCAGGGTCCTTCCCTCAAGCTCGTAAATTCTGCTAATCCCACCCTGGCTGGTTTGGCTCAATGGTTAGAGCATCAGCCCATCACCAGAGAGACCGGGTTCGGTTCCCATTAAGGGCACGTGCCTCAGTTGCAATTTGTCCCCAGCCCCAGTTGGGATTGTGTGGGTGGTGACCACTCGATATGTCTCTCTCACATCGATGTTGCTCTCTCTCTTTTCCTCCTTCTCTCCTTCCTACTCTATATCTCAAAATAAAGTGCAGAAACGTCCTAGGCTGAGGATAAAAATTTTTTTTTAATTAAAAAAAAAAAAAGATCCTGGTAACCCCATCCTCTGCTCTTTGTCCCCCCAGTCCAAGAGGTGACACCTGCTCCGGGAATTCTCTCTGTTACCTTGGTTTTCCCTCTTTGTCAGTTCAGCCCTTCAGTACACACTTAACCAATTGTTTATATTAAATTCTTTGCTCAAATAACTAGTACCAAAAACAAACAAACAAACAAACTAGTATGGTTTTTGTACTGGAATACTCCAGAGATGTTTGGAAGCGAGAAATATGCAGGAATTCTCAATCTGATATAAGCTTACATGGGAAACGGCAAATCAGGAATAACGTGCATGTTTCTGGCTTGGGAAATTTGGTGGATTTTGATAGCTTTGTCCACCAAAATTAATTTTATTTATTTAGTTTCAGTTTTATTGTTGAAAGTATTACAGATGTCTCCCCCCCACCACTGACTCCCTCCTCCCCACTCCCATCCCCCTCCTCATTTCCCCAAACTATTGTCTGTGTCCATTGGTTGTACATATATGCATATTTTGTTCTGTAATAAAGGATAAAAGCATTTATTTCAGCAAAAAGAGCTATATCTAGGGATACACAGATTCAGGTAGCAACATACATTGTGTTCCACCAAGATAAAAAATAGGTCAACTTTTATGAAGAATTTTTCTACCCATAGTTCCCATTTTGGTCCACTTGATATTAATGGGGTTTCCAAATTGTACCTTTCTTTTTTCTTTTTTTTTTTTCTTATTGATTT